TGGCATTGGAGCGTTATCTATTAATGAGCTTAGATGATGTCCTTGCAACGTTTCAGCATTTTTCTAAGCGGGAGACCTATGTACCTAAAAACAATGGAACGTCAATCCTTCTAATAAAGAACATTCACTTCAGTCCTAATCAAGTCAATGATGAAATGAAAACACTATCCGAGGTCTTAATAACATTAGATACATGTAACAGTGACGATCAAAACCTTCACATGCTGCTGGGAATAACAAGTTGATAGGTTGACTATAAAATGTCGACGTCAAAGAAATAACTATGTGGTATCATCTGACGAAACACATTCTATTTGTCGGAAAGGAAAAACGAAATTCTTACTCGGCAAAGTATTGAACAGATGATAAAAGTAGACGTGACATAAACAATGACAAGATCGTCACACCTCTAACCATACAAGACATCCTCACCATATGTCAACAAGATCCCTGAAGACACCCATCGCAAGATCAAGAATGACCCACAGACTCAAAACTATGAACTCAGCCACGAATGGTACTATTAACTATCAACATCCCGCCTCCACATCCACTAGCAACAGGAAAAGAATAAGTGCTTTTAAGTTTGAGAGGCACAGTATGCAACATTTGACTTGAATCCTTGCCCCACTTGGTTTATCAGTCGACTCCCCCATCTCCCACTCAACTGACTTTGACGAAAGCAGGCCAAATCCCAAATTATGACGTGGTATTCCTCTCCACTAAAGACGCTGTCCAAAATTTACACCGTCACTGTGTCACCGACCTAACTCACCCACCCATCCCTCCTTGACCTCAGCCTCTCAATACATTCTGGTCAACATTAAGGTCTGTACTATTGTCTGTACTCTGGAGTACTTCCTTCTTGCTTGACACTGGTCTTAGCATCTATACTGAAACGTCGTTTCATAATAGAATAGAAAGGTTCTCATCCGTTAAAAAATACCTTGTCTTTCCTGGAAGGGGTATACGGCAGATTGTCCCATATATTACAAGGATTAAACAAATAGTAGATAAGAAAAACGGATGCATGTCAAATTCTGTATTCTACGCATACCCCCTCTCGACATCTCCTTGTACAGAATACACACTGTTTTGTTGGTCTAACAGTGGAAGCTGTCCCTGTCACACTCTGATTATTATGTTGTCAGTGTGCCCATGTGTTGGTGAAGACACAGAATAGATGAAGTTTATTTAATGCATCAGTGATGTGATGGTATCTGGAGTTTTGTCTGCGACTTGTCTTCCAACACTTGGTACCACTGTAGTTGCACTATGCCACTGCATAATAGAAACACAACACTGAATGTTTGTATGCAAAACATGTTATATTTTCTGGGAACTCCAGATGGAGGATGGTTCACATGGCATGCAAAGCAACGGTTAATTGGGGATGCAATATGTGGCGTGCAGCTTTCTGTAGTTAAACCAGTAGTTACATGATAAACCCTATAACCCCTTCCTATGTCCCCTATCCACACGGATGAGAAACGGTCGCAAAAGTGGCTAATTTACAAACTCCGAGCATGCGGGAAGGTCAACATGAATGGTCCACGTGAACCAAGGAGGGCTGGGCAGCATTCTATTCACGCTCACCAAAACGGCGTTCAGCAACATTGATGAACATGAGCAATTTGGTGATTAATAAATTCTACGGCTGGAGGTACATATTACTTGTTTCGACACAAAGCAGTATGCCTTATAAGCTGCTCATAGATCGAAGTCAGTCAGTGCACTAATATCGTCTTGACCACGAGTACGTTTACCTGCAGAAATGCAACAGTGGGGTAATAACATTAGAAGTGGACAACCCGATTAATACACCAGAACATGGCTTGACGATGAACACCAATGGGCGTGAAGTGTATTGTGAACATCCTTTGTTGATAAGCATTCATTTGACATTCAAGAACATGCTGAAGAAAGATAATTTGTCTGGAGGTTTCCTGATGTATCGTTCTTTTGATGTTCCGAAAATAATGTTTTGTCTTTTTTGAAAGGTGTCTCACAATTCCTTTCAGATGAAACGTATCCTGTTTCATACAAATATCCCAGTACAGCTTGAGGCCCCGTCCCACTAACCTGTCTTAGCACAACGCCTGTTCAAAAACTATGTTATGCATTTGCAATTACGATCATCCTGTGTTCTTCTCTTTGCATCAATCATCGTAAACAAACAAACAAACCACCTGAACGCCATGGTGTATTGATGAATTATAGACAGAGGTAAGTCGGTTAACATACACAACTGCAGACCCACGCAATGGTTTAGTTGATTGGTTGCTTTGTTGTTCAACGACGCACTCAACATAATTCCGGCTATTCGGCGGAGGTCTATAATAATCAAGTCTGGACCAGACAATCCAATAATAAACAGCATGAGCATCGATCTAAGCATCTGACATGATGACATGTGTTAACCAAGTCAGCGACCCTGACCACCCGATCCCGTTAGTCGCCTCTTATCACGCATTCAGGAGTAAGTTGTTTAGACTTGAATGATCGCTGCAGCGTAATGCTGCAAATAGATGTTAAGGAGAAGATGGTGAGTTGATTGTGTTGAGTGCATGGTGGATAGTGGAAGGTGAGATACATATGATGAACAGTGAGTGCTGAATATTTGATGGTGAGTTGTGGAAAATGAGTTCAAGATGGTCAGTATTAAATGAGATTCAGTGGACGGTGAGTATTAGATATGGAGAGATGACTATTTGAACAATGAGAAGATGAATGGAAACATTCAGTATCTTCTCGTCATCGCATCAGTGCGAAAATATGAAATATCAGAAATCAAAGAGTGTCGTGCCGATTTGGCTCTGAACTATAGTTCCAACAATCAAGGCCTCTTTTTCAAATGCCAATTCGCATCAGTGACCAAACTGAGCGAATGAGTTTAATTTTACGCTGCACTCAGTAATATTCCAGCTATATGGCGCGACCAAAATTAAATATCACAGGATGTACGTGTACATTAGTGAAATAATGAGTTCGTAGAATACAACGTCCTCCATTGTTTTGCACTATTTCTTCTTGAGACGAAATCTCAGAGCAATTTAAAAAAAAGACGTTTCTACATGAGTGTTTGCATGTCGTCATTAGCATGGGTGATACACAGAATCTGAATGGAGTCAGTTCTTATTTGCACATTTTAGGAAGCTAAACTAGAGGTGTTTTGTGTTCAGTGTTGATCACTGTGTCGAGCTGATAGGGTCAGCATGACGACAACGATACAAATACCGTATCGTCGATGATACACATACCGGTATTACTAGTATTACGTCATTTCATGTGTGTACTGAGTCAACAGTGTTTTCAGGGTTACATATCCTCTGCTCTGCTATTACACCCGTCAGCTTCGCAGTGAGCTTGGTGATGAAACCATACGGTTATGAATCGTTCTTGTGAAAGGATGCTTGTCTCTGGTAAAATGGGCTTCTGGCTGTTGCTATCCGTGACCAAGCAGATTACGTCTCATTGTACCTCGTGAACGTGGATGGTTGCTCTTGCTATAAATTACTGTTTTGTCTGGGATCGACAGGCTGCAAGGACGTAGCTGCAGTATTGTTGGCTATAAGTGAAAGTCACATCAATTCACTCACTCTAACTCGTCAGTATATTCCAGCTAAATAGTCTGTTGGCTCACTTCAATTTTGCGATGCTTTCAAGTATTATCACTGAGAATACTACAGAATGGAATTAACTGATTGCAGTTTGTTTGCCCAGTTGAAAGGGGTTGGTTACCACATACGGACCACATTAACATTGAAGGTTTTCAGTCCTCACAAATCAATATTTGAAGAAAATCAATATTTTGTTATGCCTTTTGTGAGCGGGAGAATGAAGACATATTTTGGCACAAAGTAGCAGCAAACCTTTAACTTGTAGGTTCAAAGAAGCCCAGCTCACTTTTCGCTATATTTTCACACGGATCAGACACTATCAACATGCGTCTGAATATATTTTGGTGAGATAAGTGGGACGATTATCCTATTGTTCATGCATACATATCGAATGACGGTGTATGAGGTCAATTTAGAATTTTAAAGATGCCATATAATTTAAAATATAATGACACTATCCTTCAATCTAAAGCAGGAATCCCTTTCTCGAGTGGAAATTTTGAACAAAACATAATTCACGAAGACCATAAAAGCGTCCCAATTTCTAAAAGAAACTTTTGCATAACGTTTTTAGGACCACTGTACACATCTTTGTGGAATACCACCAGCATCTATGTGTGCAAGTTTAGTAGATGGCTCGTTCAAATGGCAATAGTTGTAGACGGTAATGGGAAACTCGAAAGTAATGTTCTGCTGATATTCATAGTATAACTATAGCATAAATGAAATACGTGAACATAATACCAGCATAACCAAGTTGGGTAAATGTACACCATGTAGTGTTTCTGTCTTTTCTCGTCTTGTGGTTGCTCTCATGTGTTTTGTATCCCAAGCCCTTCCTTGTTGGATGCAGCCGTCATAAGATTAGAATACCGTTTGAAGGTTGCCTTCGATTCAAGTCATCATCACGTGCAGGGAAAATGAGTTGTTTTTGGAGTTGGACTGAAATTTAACTCGATACAGGTTGAATCATTCAGTAAAGTTCAGAAAATAGTGATGTGGCGGTTGCATGAACTGATGATAACAAAGATCCAAAGGGCAATGCTTGGAGTGCTCCACATTGTCAAATTCTGGTTTGTGACTGGGCCACTATTGAAAAAGGTTACTTGGTTTACTAATATAGGTGGAGGCGTTAGACAGCATTATTGCGGTCACTGACAACTTAATATTTCACTGATATGAATTTGGATTTATAAGTTTTGAGATAGGAAAGAACCAAAGGGCAATGCTTTGAGTGCTCCACATTGTCAAAATCTGGAGCTTTCTACCTGAGTGTTCGATACCATGGCATTGATCATTATCTTGCCTCACACATAAATGTCGATTTCTGATGGCTGAGCGCTTTTCTATTATTTTCAATGTACCCTGCTTACGAGCGAGTAACATTTTCCATGTACCCCGCTGGGAATACCGAACTCATTTGGAACTTCGAACTAGTAATTCTTTATCTCGAATAACGTTGAATCACGTATGATGTACGGAAATTACCGATGTTTTGCGAATGCAATTCGGTGGAAGGGACACAACTCTAAATTTGTTTTTCTTGTCTTGTCGTCTGGTACTCCATACTATGATCCGACACCCGTGCTTCAAACAGTTCAAAATTACCATGGAGGTGTTCGGTAAGATAAATACGTTGTTCACTGGTACCTCGGGGCCCATGGGTTGATGTACCCTCGATGTGTCTGTATGTTCACTTCGCCCTTCGGGCTCAGGGAACATAAACAAACATCGAGGGTACATCAGCCCATGTTCCCCTCGAGACCAGTGAACAACTTATAACGTCTTTTTAAAGTAGTAGGAAGCTTAACGGATGTTAAGCTGTATTAATTGTGTTACAGTAGCCCGATATTTTTATTATATATTTGGATACGTGCATGTCCAGGTTTATGGACGCATGAACATGTAAATATCCTCGTGGCATTTGGTTTTGTGGGAACAGAATCGGTGACCAATGGAACGTTTACAATGGTGCAGCAGTAGTCGCACATAATGTTTGTATCTGCATTACGACGAGACTAGATATTTCCAACTTCTGTTTATGACTACATCCATATTGAAAAAAAGAGTTAACTAGGTAGAGTCATTAGACAGCATTATGACATTATTAGGTCACTGAGAACTTAATTTACACTGATATGAACTTGGATTTATAAGTTGTGTTAACAGATGCTGAATATTCGATAAACAGACAATTCGGTGAAAGTTGAATGATAATCTCTCCATCTGCTCTGTGGAGTATTTCTTGCCGATACCTTCTACAAATATTGATACACGGCCCTGAGCTTCCTTTAAATTCAGGTCTAAAGAGGGCCCATCCAGAGGGAAGCAAAACGAGATCGAAAGGTGTCAATAATAATGGTTGTTCACGTTGAGCAGTACTAATACGGTTGTATCTTCAGGAATACTTTATATATATCGCGGAGTTGAACGGTCAACATAATGTACGAGTTATGCTGAAATGCGACTTATATGTGTTGGAATTGTAGGGAAGCCAACACTTCTCAGATTCTATGTTTCACACATCTCGGATCATGTCTTTTTTTTAAAAAAAACCCCCACCTCTCGAATCCTCACACTACATTCATTATTGTGACGCTAAATTGGTAAAACGTTACTGACTTGAAAATTCCAACACGTCGATTACAATGACAGCGTGACAGACATTATTTCGTCAAGTCATATCACGTTGGAGGTCTGCAAACAAAATCAAAGCGGAAACCATCATATATGTTGTGTGTAGATTGTACACTCTGCATCATAATTTTTCTGGATTTTCACTTTCATGTATGTCAAGGTTAAAACGAGACATCAGTTAAACTTTCCAAACGTTTCATGAACACATGAATTTGATGCATCAGTGACAAAACCGATGTCGAATGCAATTTCTTATTTGGACTTACATGCTCCCGTGCTATTTTTTATATTATTTGAACAATTTCCCTCTGTATTAGCGTGTGAGGGTGGTGGGTCAGGATATGCTTATCTTTTCAGGAATATCTTGGTCACTATTTGGTGGTAATTCCTAACCAAGTGTTCATGATACAGCCAGAATAGTTCAATGTCTTCAGGAGAATGATCTTATGAATATGGGAAAAGGTTGTCCCTTGTGTTTTAATGATATTGTGAGGACACTGCGACATGCAATATCACAATCGATAGTCAAGGTAGCACATTTGTATGAACATATTCTCCGGATTTTATGTTTTTGAGATCATCTGTCTTGAACACAAGGGTCGTCTGAGCAATGTGCCATCGTATCCCACGTGAATCTGTTCTATGCGTCCGTGGAATGCCACTTTTTCTTCTTCTTCGCTCCACTACTATGTTCGATTAGGATGCCGTCCATGTGGGGAGTCAAAATATGACAGTGAGTGCTGTAACGTATTGATCATGACTTAAACAGTGAAGGTCCTAAACACGTGTGGATTTGTTCTCCCTCATTCCCACACAACAAACTGATTTGGCTTTATCTGTATCGTATTTGCGCCTGGGATTTTTGTTCAAAGTGTTTCTGCAAAAGAAAAGTCTTAAAGTAATAGTAACTGAAACTCAATTTGAAACATTGAACATGAACTTTTCCAATCATGTTTTCACTTTGAAGTTTTCTTGCTATCAAACGAAAGGGTAATTTAACCCCTTAACCCTTACCTTGTATGCTTCTGAATGTTACTATTCCTGCGTACATGGGCCCAACAGGCCCCGGCACATTGCCTCTTGGTTTACTTGTTACTAAAATAATCTTGGACCTTCCCTTGCTGCCAGTTATCTGTATTAGTCATGGAAGAGCTTAGAAGACTGAGTAATTCCAATCATTTCTAAATAGAAATTGAAAGGTATGGAGGATTTATGTGTCAAGCTTTAATTTTAAAATAAGTTATAATTTCATAGAATGCTTCTACTTATTCTTCTTACAAGCGGAGGCCAACTTGCAGGCCACGCGTAGAGGATTAACTCCAGAAAGTCATAGTGCTCTCTATGACCGGTGACAGGCGAAATGGAGGTTTTCTCTGATGTTCTTGCCAACCTGGAAGGGAACGGAGGGGACAGGCCAACCAAATATATGGCCAAACCAATCCCATTTAACAGCCCAGGGGAATGATACACGTGAATCCACCCAAGGGACAGCTATATCCAGGTCCCGTCTCCCCCAGCCTGCACGAGATGATTCTGAAGGATAGAGCATTGAAATGCAAGGACATCTCAGATAAAGTGTCAGTAGAGGAGGAGGCACATCTGCTCAAGCGGAATGGGAGTGACCCTGTTGGGCCTCCAACTTCAAGCGCCCCTGTTGAACCTAGAGATGAGATTATCCATAAGATGGGACAGAACATGGTTTGTCAAAAATATACAGAGGGGTACCCTGGGGTTAATCATGCCCCAAAGGATTACCCTGTATATGGAGATACCTATGGTCATTCTTATGGCGGCCATCAATGTTCAATCTCCCATAGGTCTAAGATGTATGGAGACTATATTGAACACAATCCAAAGGAGCATTATTGCATAGAAGGCCCTAACCGATGTCGGGTGGATGCTATGGATCCTGTGGCCCACATACCAACCAGTGCGGGGAACTCCAGCCATTCCGATATCATTCTGGATATTTTAAAGATGATCCTGCACATGCCCCCAGAGATAGGCAAAGGAGATGTGTAAAGCTCTACATAATGAGAGGACAGAAAAGATTCAGAGAGCTCCTCATCATGGTTTATCTGGCTTGGCTGGCAGATACTGGATAAAGCTGCAGCCCAGAATGGGACTAACTGTTTGTCAACAGTGAGGTCCGGGCCCGGCACATAATAGCACCCCAGAGAAGACTCAAACTCCTCCCAAATGTCTCAGATAAGAGCAAACTTGTCCTCTGCGTGGACATGGGATCTAAGAACCACCTTTCAGACATTGCAGCCCCGACAAAGGGAATTCCATGTCCCTTACTCCACAACACCTGTGAAACCACCATCGACTGTTTCAGGTGACCAGTAGTCATCAGAACTCCTGTCAGGGCCCAAATCTCATCTTCATTCGTTTCTTTCCAAACACTTTCTTCTTTGCCCCTTTCTCTCATAGCTCTTTTCTCTATGTTCGTAAACAATATGTTCTCTTTAATCACAAACAGTTTGAACATAGCATCCTTAGAGATGATCCACATTTGACCACCCGTTGCAGTGGACCTCGTAGGATGTTTCGGGTAGGTGTTTTGGCTGGTGGCAATGGATTGGTTGACCATCTGCTGCCATCTTTTCCAACTATAAACTTCTGTCCAGGTTCAGAGTTTCCCTGCCCTGTATCCATGGATGATGTTCCATTACTGGAAGTGGGCAGCACAAAATTGCTGTCTCATCCATTGTCATCTGTGAAAAGTGGTTCTGCTTCATCATTGGTCTCATAGTTGCTTAAACTGGCCAAAACTTCATTCAGACCTTCGTGGTCCTTTTCCCTCTGAAGTAACAAAAATCAACAGTCAGCTAGGTACCGGGACTGTTTGGTACGTAGAACACAAGACTTTTGGTAAAGTCCCCGGGCCTGTCAGGCCCATGTATGCACTTAACATGGGTAAAAAGTTATAATGACCAAAAAATATTAATTAGTAATTAAGTTTTGATCAAAACTTGTTTGAGACAAGTATTCACAGAACTTGAGGAATACATAAAATTTCAGCTAAAAATTATAATTCGTTTCTAAGATGAAGGAGCTGAGACAGACTCTCGGGCCTCTCAGGCCCCGGGATACCAGGTAAGAGTTAATAATATATTTTATACATACACTTGTGATCTGAGAAGCATTTGTACGCGTATGCCTATTTGTTGTATAGTTGAGGTATGTGCGACTGTGATATTTGTAGCATTTGTTGTCTATTCAGTTTAACCTCAATGCATGTTATTCATATTCCTCAGAATAGTTAAATCGTGACAGAAGGTTATGAATACACAATTCCACTTAGCAAGAGAAAGTGTTATCCTGGTGAAAGCTACGATGACACTTTGATTCATGCAAAGCAGTTACAAAGTGAAGGTACTCCCATCCATCTAATGTCAACGAATGCTGTTACTGTAGAACCACACCGAGATAGGAATCATTGAATAAACACAATTATATTGAATCGTCCACAGCTGTAAGACTGACATTTACATAAAAGTAACATATTCATAATCGACATGAATTGATTTGGGTGAAAAAAGGATTACAAAAGCTATTGGCTGTGAACGGCTGTTATTATGTCATCTGATATTGAAGGTCACAATCTCGAAGGGTTACGTTTCATTCCGTCTCATTTGTTTTTCAAATCCGGTTGTTCTCATAATTTGAACATGAATGAGCAACGTCGGAATTCCATGAATAACAACAAACTTAAAATACCATGAAAGTGCCGTTGGAGTTTCATGTGCTCAATGGACTATTCACTCGCTAAATGGAGGTCACTACATTTACAGTGATTATAGACAACACAGTAACTTGATTAATCTATGGATAAAAAATACGCTTCCTGAAAATCGATTC